TCCGGCCTGGGTGCCCCGGTGGGGTGTGGGGGGGGGGGGTGTCCAGGTCCAGCCCCACGTCCCTCCCGTGTCCTCACAAAGGGAGCAAAGCAGTTGCAGGGGGAGCCTCACCTCATCCCGCTGCTCATCAGGGGGCCTCTGGACGAACCACTGCACGCTGGCCTGCGGGGACCGGGGCACGCACTCCAGGAAGGTGCTGTTGTCCTCCGCCGCATAAAGCACCTTCTCCTCAACGCTCTCAAAATCATCCACTGGGATGAAGACAGACACGGGCTTGGGGGGGTGGGACAGAGCCAGGCTTCCATGTCCCCTGGTGTCAACCCCCCTGGGCTACCATGTGGCTTCAGTCCCCTTCTCCCTCTCTCCCTGGGGACAGACCCCAGCCCTGGTAGCACCCACCTTGGGGAACCCCTTGGTCTATGGGATGGGGAGACAAAGGGTGCCCCAGCCCACCTGGGATGGCCACAAGCCCCCGTGTGTGCCAAGGGCTATGGTTGCCAGGACATCTCAGGGCACCTGGACAAGCGCCTCAGCCCTGTGGGACCCCCAATGTCTCACCGGTCAGGTTCTGGTCCAGACACTGGTGCACAGGGTTACCGTGGCGGACGTCCTGGCGGCGATAGCGACGCTTGCCAGAGGGCTGGTACCGGGTGCAGGCGGCACCGTCCCAAAAATCCCTGGCCAGGCAGCATTCGGCACAAGCCGTGCCGTAGGTCTCACACCGGTGCAGCCGTACCTGGGCCACTCCCAGGCTGGAGCCCACGTAGAGCGTTTGCTGGGGGAACAGCACCAAAATGGTGATGCTGGCAGCCCCCACGGGCACGGCACCCAGGGTCCCCAGCTGGGAACCCCCTGGGGTAAGCACCATGCGGGCTTTGAGAGGCTGGTGACAACATCTCAGTCCCTCCTCGTCACCTGCCCTTGTCCCCAGCCCCATGTCCAAGCTGTGTCCATACTCACACGCTTGACGGAGACTTCCATCTGGGTGATGGGCACAGGCACCTGCAGGGGAGGAGAGAGGACCTGAGGCTGGCAAAAACCTCGCCACGGAGAGCCCGGCTTGTTCCAAGCCACCAGGGCTTTTTGGTGGGGTGAAAACACCCCCAGCCGCCCTCTGCCCTCACAGCCCTGAGACCTCCCAGTGCCCAACAGCGCAGTGACAGCCCTGAGCCTCCATTCCCACGTGTGTCCCCAACCTGAGCCCACCCCGCTGTCCCCCTCTCTTGCAAGTGGGGCAGCAAATGGCACCTTAAAAACCTGCAGCTCCTCCAGGACGACTTCCTCAGTTGTGGCCGAGCTTGTCTTCTGCAGGACCACCACCTTCAGCACCGAGCCAGCATCTATAGGGAGGAGGAGGAGGATGGAGGTGTGAGCACCCTGCCATCGCGCACCCCAGCAATGTGCCCACCGGTAGACCCAGTACCGGGTCTCCTTCCTTCACGCCGCTCCTGCCGCTCACCCGTTCCGAGGAAGAGGACGTCGTGCTGCCCATCCTCAGCCTCCACCCGGTCCACCACAAGCTGGCGCAGCCGGTGGGGCAGATCGGTCTTGACCAGGAGGGGCCGGTGGTGCCAGGGGTACACGGGTTTGTACATGAGTGGGTGAGCGCGGGCAAAGTGCAGCACCTCATCAGGGAAGTCCTTGGTGGTGCTGTACTGCCGCCGGGGCTGGTTGGTGGTCTTGCTGGGACACTGTGGGGACAAGAGCGGACCAGCGCAGCCTGGCCACCCCAGCACCCATCCCTCCTTCCCCCTCCACTGCCCCACAGAGCTGGTTTGGGTCCCTCCTCGCCTTCCAATTTGGGATCCATCTTCTCCACCCCTTTGCCAGACCTTGGTCCCCAGCTGTTCCCGGGGTGGATCCCACAGCCAGCCCATCTCAGCGGGTGAGAAGATGGAGGATCAGCCCCATCACCCTGCCTGGAAGAGCAATCGGAGGAGCAGAGGGGGCCTGGAGCTCCAGGGAGTCACTCACCACGCCCGGCCGCGGGTAGGGCACCCTGCCCTCGTAGGCACCCCACTGGTGGTGGGGGCTCTCCCGGTGGGCAAAGGGCCCGTTGAAGACCTCCCGGATGTCGGCCATGCGGTACACACAAACGGCGGAGCCCTTGAAGACATGGCTGAAAGGGGACAGTGAATGGGGTGAGCAGAGCTCCATGCCAGCAGCATCAGTGGGGGGTATGGGAGCACCGACATCTCCGTACAGACCAGGGCAGAGCTGGCGGAGGTTGCGGAGCTGCCAGCAGCCACATGGTGATGGTGATGGGGCAGGTCATGGGTGGCTGCAGCTGAATGTTCCCAGAGGGTGGAGCTGGACCACCTACCTGATGGTGCTGAAGAGGGCGTAGATCTCTGGGCTCTTCCCGTCCTTAAAAATCCTCTGTGGATCAGACCATGGGGTTTCTCCTGGAAGCCCAGGGGCTTCTCAAAGCCACCAGCTAAGGGATCAGAGCTGGTGAGGTCCCCCACCTCCATGCACCCCTTACCCAGCTCATCAAAGTGCGTGTCGATGCCACCAGGGCCGGGGACGGAGCACACCAGCCGGGCTTTGTTGAAGGTACTCCACTTGTTGACGAGCACCCTCTGGCCACCAGCATCATTCTGCAGGGACAGGGAGCATCAGGGCCACCGCTGTGACTTGGCACATCCCTGTTCCCCACGGTCCCCACTAGCATCTTACCATGCAGATCCGCGCCACCCGGCTAACGATGGCGTGCTCCTTGCTGTCTGCCTCCACCACCTTCTCCGTGAAGAAGAAATAGGCTTTGTCGTTGTCCCGGTCATCATTGTCCGGGATCAAGTGGGCTGCCACAAATTTGGGGTCTACAAACAAGAGCCAGCCACGAGAAGGTGGGGTGAGAAGGCATGGTCACTGCCTCCGGACCCCCACACCACGCTGAGGCTGGGTGCTGGCCAGGAGGACGCCCAGACCCTGCTGCCCCCGATGCCTTTCCCTGTTTGTACCTGGCATGGGGGTTGCCACACCGTGGCCAGCAGATGCCCCGGCAACTGCAAGGCTCATGGTCCCTGGCATTAGCCCAGCCAGGGGGGATGGAGGGGCAGAGGGGAGCCCTTACCATTGAGTAAGCGCTGGTCCACCTCGGTGCGCAAGGCGGAGCGGGTCCCCATGCTGCGGAAGATGCCGGGATCGCGGCCCAAGAAATCTGCGGTGAGGCCAGCGTACAGCTCCCCGCCTGGCAAAAACACCCCGCAGCCGGGCTGAGCGCCAGCCCTGGCTGGCACGGGGACCGTCCCTGGTCCCGGCACCCCAAAGGCTCTCAGTTCCCGCGGAAGACAACCCACCGATGACGGTGCTGGCAAAACCGCGGCTGGGCAC